GCAGCTGCGTGGGAGGCGGTCGCCGCCATCAGCCCTTCTCCGGCCCGGTCCCCCACGCCCACAGCATGTCCGAGTGGCGCGGGTGACAAGCGTGGGCTCCCAGGTCACCTGGGCTGTGAGCACACGCCATTGGGACCAGACAACGGGGCGGACGCAGCAGTGGACCCCAAACATTGCAGTTTCTGCACAGAGGAACCAGAATACTCCTCCCGGACGGAACTACACATCCTGCTGTCCCCGAGGCCTGGCGCGCCCTCCGCCTGAGGTCCTGGACGGACGGACAAGCTCCACCTCAGCTCGCTCCCTGTACTGCCCCCTGCCCTTTTTTCCGCCCCCACAGAGTGAGGCCCAGGCCTGAACCCCGAGGGGGAGAAGGAGTGCAGCCGCAGGGGGACGCCCCCCCATCGCTGCATCTCGTTTTCATTCACGAACATGGCTTCTCTCAGCTCGCTGCTTTTTAACGTTTTATTTTTGACTTTGAGTTTGACGTTCTTCAGAGAACATTGAAACACAGCTCCCGAAGGCCCTTCGGCGTGGGGACCCCAAGGCGTTTGGACGTGGGGACGTGTGCGGAGCTGGGCCCTTGGGGAGCCAGCTGTGGGCTCGGCCTGCGGGCGAGAGTGGCCGGGGCCCTCAGCCGTCCGCCACCTCGTGCTGCATCCTGGAGACCCAGCTGCGGGGGCGGGGAAGCCACACGCATCTGCAGCCCACGCGAACTCCACGTCATCTCAGTGGAAACTTGGTCCCAAGCTCCTCAATTCTGGTTCTGTTTCGGGGACCTCGAGGGCGGGATCTGACTCCACGGGCCCCGTGGTTTCCTCACCATGGCGGGTAGGTTGGCCTGGCGACTCGGCCGGCCCTGAGCGCCCAGACTGGACGTCATCCTCTGTGTCTGCCAGGTGCCCCGACCACAGCACCTCAGAGTCGCTGGGCTCGTAAAGCAGGTCGCCCCCCAGGACGGGCGGGCCTCGCCGGCCTGCGCTGGAGGAAGGAGAATTCGCCCTTTGTCCCGCCTGGGGACAGCTCACCCCACCCTCTCCCACCCCCGGACTGAGGTTTGTGCCACGGGTGCGGTCCTCAGGCCGGTGGCCTCTCTGGGGCCACCAGCTCGCAGCCGGCAGGTGGCAGGACGTCCACTACTGCGGGGCCGTGTCCTGGGTCTCCTTGTGTCTGCGTGGTGTCCTCCTGCATCTGTGGAGGCCCTGACCGCGCTCGCTCTAAGCCTGAGCCTGTGACGAGGCCTCCTGGGGACCCAGGGGGCCGTGAAGCTGCTGCAGAGGGTTGACAGAGGTGACGCGCGGCCGGCTCCACAGTCACCTTCGTCACGACCCTCCCGTCACGGGAGGGGCCAGAGCGCTTTGCAACGTGCCTGGTGGAGCCAGAGCCCCCGAGCTGGCAGGCACTGGTCTCCCGGGGAGCCCCAGGCAGCGCGCCGAAGGCCCCGATGTCCGGACTCAAGCCTCGGGGCGGGGCTCGCCGTCAGCGTCTCTCGCCTGGCACGTGTTCTGCGTGCCGGCACGGGGGACCCGAGCAGGCGGCGTCACGTGAGCGTTTCAGTCTGCAGATGTGCGTGTGCAGTGGTGTGCTGGTTCCAGATCACGCGTGCACACGAGCACAGGTGTTTGTGATCAGCTTGGTGACATGAGGGTGCGTGGCCCACAGCTGGCACGTGAGGGCAGACGGCACAGAACTCACCGTGAACTCCGGAGAGCAAACTGGTTCTCGCGGGATGTGTTCGTTGGTTCCCGCTGGGTCGTGATTCGACAGATCGCATTGCGTGTTAACTCTCTTCCCTGTGAAAGTGCTGTCTTCGATCTGGTTCGTGATCTACTTTTAAACTCTTTCCACCTTTGTGTGCACCATGCGCGTTAAACTGAGCCCTGCTTCAGCCTCGGCCCTAGACATAGCACGCGCGCTCTGAATTCCAGACATTCTCTCCGTGACTTTCCTAATTCCGGGCACGAGCGGAATCATAAACCCAGCCCTAGTTTGTAGCGTCTGCCAGTTCCTGTGGTGTGACCCCCTCCGCGGCTGGTTTCCGGCAGCACGTGGCCCTGGGCGTGGAGCTGGGACGAGGCACATGGCACCCACCTGGAGCAGCTGCCCCGCCTCAGACGCCGCAGGTGTGATGACCTCAGACACGCTACTCTGTCTTTCTCCCTAACAGTCAGTCGTCTGAGGTCCCTGCCGGCCCCAGCCCCCCAGCCCCGGCCCCTTCTGATCCTGGGGGGCTCTTCCTCCCCCTCTCGCTCTCCCACCCCCTGAGCCCCGTTTCTCAGAGGGCGCTGGTGCCTCATCAGGTTTGTAGGTGCCGCCGTCTCATACTCGACCCCGTAACATGGTCAGCCCTGCTGGCCCTGGACCTCGCCTCGCCCCAAACGACCCGTAAAGATAACATTCCAACAAACCCATTTCGTGGTGGCCGGGGCTGGGGCGCCGTTTTCGTCCTCGTCATATTTCTGACCTCGCTCTCAGCCACCAGGCGGGGGTCGGGCTGGGGCGGGTGAGCCGGGCTCCCAGCGCAGGGTGACGGCGGGCGTCTTCCTCTGGTCCCCGTAATGGCTCAGGCCCCTCGGTGAGCTGCGTGGTGAGGTGGGCGACAGGACAAGGACAGGAAGCAGGAAACAAGGTTGGCGACCGAACCCGATGGCACTCGGCCAGCGAGAAGACCTCAGTGTCCTTGACCACCATCTCCCCTCGCAGCCCCTGGGGTCTCACTGCAAGGTGCCAATCGCCATCCGCTCCTGCTTGTCTGTCTCTTCCCTGTGGCTCTGGAGACTTTATTGAAAGTCACTTGTTTGTGTCTTTTCGTAGCCTGGGCGGGGAGGGGGGCAACTGGTGGTGACTCCCGCAGGCCAATGCCTCAGAGAGGGGTCCTAGATCTACAAACACGGAGACTCAGAGGGACTGCCGAGCCGTGGGGAGGCGGGGGTGGAATCGAGCATCAGTGACAAGTGACAGAAACTGGAGCCCCGGGAGCAGCAGACGGCGACGGGGCCCCGCGACAGCCCACTTGCTGTCATCGGCGTGGAGCCTGGCCAAGGAGGAAGCAGGACTGACCCTTCTCAATTATCCCGTGCAAACTGAGTACACAGGCGCGTGCTACCTGACCAGGTGAGCTGCCTCGCGGGCAGCTACACGGAGGCTACCGTTACCACAGAAGAGAGTAATCTGACTTTCACGCTTCAAGTGGGGCGTCGGTGTGCTCCTCACGCAGGCGCAAAGCAAGCTCCCCTCAGGTCCTCCGGAATCCCTCACTCCTCTCTCCCACCCCGTCTGCTCCCCGCCTCCCTCCCTCCTTCCCTTCCCTCTTCCCTCGAGGCTGGTCGGTGGCACCCGAGCACGTCCCTCCAAGTCTGCACGCAGTGGCCTGCAGAGGCGCGTCCAGGCAGCTGGTGATCGGCGCGGGTTCCGAAGCCCCAGCCACACAGACCGAAGCACAGTCCAGCAGAGCATGGAACCTGCGTCTGTAAGAGGCTCCAACACGCACGGCGGGCAAGTGGCTCCTGGCCTGGGGACAGGGTCTGGCAGGGTGGGCTCAGCCATCCACGATCTCCAGAACCGCCACCTGTGAAATGCGGCTTCAGCTCACAGAACAACGACAGAGGCGAGGTGTCTGGTTCAGTCTGCACAGAGCACGCGCTCGCTCACCAGGTGTCACTGCTGCGAGCTCCCTCTGCCCGCGGGCACGTGACTTGAATGTGAACAAGGTCAGTGTCCAAAGTAAGAAGCCTGAAACGTGATGCAGGATTCGCCGCAGGCCGGCTCCCGCCCTGGCCATCTCTGACCGGCCGTGACCTGACCCACGGCCCCGTCTGTGCCGGCGTCGCCGAGGGCTCGTTGCGTCTGTCAACACTGCGGCGAGGTGCACGGGAGGGTGACACTGACCCCCACCGCGTCGCGTCCGTGGAGGGCAGTGACCCGCTCGGCTCGCCTGGTATGAGGACTGGGCTCGCGGGCGCAGCTCTCTGTGGTTTCCTGGGCACGGTCACACCGACGGTCACCGTGACCTCTGATGGGGCCGTCGTGCGCCCTGCAGACACAGACCTGGGCCAGGAGCGGGCCGAGACTCCCATGGGACGCTCCCGAGTGTAGATTTTTAGTTTCTTCCTGAGGAGAGAGCATCCGAGTGTAAGAGGCTCGGAGGCAAAGCGGGCGTGTTTGCTTTTCGGCGTGTTCAGGCACCTAAGTGTGCGGGTTAGCTCCCCCCCTACCATCTGCAGGGTGCAGACTGCCAACAAGCAGCTGCACACAGTAGGGCAGACACTTCCCCGCTGTGATCCAAGCCAGGAGCCAGCAGGGGCAGAGCGGGAGGAGAGGCTTTAGAATTGTAAGACTCCACCAGGCCAAGGAAATGGAGTCCTCTGGACTCCCGCCCCTCAGGGGGCCATGGTCAAGGGCACAGACGGTGCCGGGGGCTCCTGCAGGCTTCGGGACTGCGAACCCTACCCGCGCTGCGTGGCCTCGGTTAGCGATCTGCCCTCGGTTAGCGATCTGCCCTCTGTGAGTCTGGCTTCTGTCGCTGACGTGGGTGTGATAATACCACCCAGGCCGTTTGGGGAGGTGGATGGAGCAGCCGAGCAAGGGGCCGGTGCCCGCCATCAGTCACCATGCCCGCCATCGCCCGTCACAGCTCCAGGTGACATTCTGACGACCTGCCGTGTCTTAGCCCATTCCGTCCTCCACACGGCCCTTTGAGCAGACACTTCCTGTCGCCCTATTTCCCCCAAGGGGAACGAGGCACAGGTGCCGGGACCCAAACCGGCCCCGGGGGGCGGAGGCCGAACCTCAGCTCCGCAAGAGCAGGTGCTGGTGAAGCTGCCCCGCAGACTCGGCCAAGCCTCACGGCTCCCCTTCAGCCAGACGCCACAAACGTTCCTCAAACGGCAAGCGTGTGCGAAGCCCCGGGCGGGGGCCTCTGCTGGGTCAGCACCCTCCCCGTGCTGGCGGCCGTGGGCTCCCGAGTCCCCGGGAGGCAATGATTTGGCTCCTTCCTTCAGTTGTGACATAGGCACAAATGAAAATTCACCTTGCTGCACAGTAAGCGGCCAAGAAGCGGGGGTCCGGCTGGATAATGACGCGCTTGACGTCGTAAACGGGAAAACGAGGTAAGAAAGGGCTCCCGTTCGTCAGCCCGCTGGGTGCGGACTCTGCAGGAAGCAGGAGGGAGGCAGGGACCCGGCCCGCCCACAGCCGCCCAGCCAGACCGCCCGCCCGGCAGATGAGGGACCGTGGGCCGCACAGCTGCGAGCCCGTGTCTGCAGCGGAGGCGGGAGGCGCTGCCCCGGGGGACTCGGCCTGGCGCCCACGAGCTCGGCCTCCCGTGTCTCTCCTCCCACCCGCGTCACCCACGTGGCTCTGGGGCGGCAGCGGCCCGGCCCCCTCGCTTCCTGCCTGGCAGCGCCGCAGGGGCCGGGGAGCGTCCCTGGGGCAGGAGGACGCAGCCGCGGCTCCCTCTCCTGAGGCCAAGTGACAGAGCGGGTCACCCCGAGGCCTCGCCTCCAATGCAGCTCTTCAAGTCACCATCAAACAGCGTCACGGAAAGGAAGACAGAGGCTGCCGGAGCGAGACCGGATGCGCGGATGCGCGGATGCGCGGATGCGCGGATGCGCGGATGCCCGGATGCGCGGATGCCCGGATGCCCGGATGCCCGGATGCCCGGATGCCCGGATGCGCGGATGCCCGGATGCCCAGGGCCGGCCACGTGCACGTGCAGCCCAACCTGGTAAGGCTGCAGTCGGAGGGCCACGGTCACTCCCGGAGGGCCAGCCCCCCTCCTTCCCCGCCTGTGAGCCCTCGGCCACACCCCGAAAATGAACAGGGCCAAGGGCAGCACTGGGCAGGACTCTCTGAGCGACAGTCTGTTGGGAAGTGACGCCGGGGAGGCGCGCTCTGTGTGTCTCTGGTCCGCGGCTGCTGGGACATGCTCCCTCCAGCCACTTCACCCAGGGACCACCGCTTCCCAGCTGCAGAGGGGGCCGGCGCAGCGGGGCTGCCTGGAGGCCCGCAGGACGAGGCCCTGTCCCCACAAGTGTCTCTCGTGACCATGCTGCAACTCGCCGGGAACCCGGACCTCAGGGCTTGGGCTGGGAGTCTTGCTGGCCAGCGATGCGGACTGGGGAACATGGCTGGACTCGGCAGCCCCCGTGGGCGCCGCTCAGGGCAGGGAGGGCACGCTGGGGACAACCCGTAGCTCAGTGAGGGTGTCTTCTCACAGGCTTCATCACGCGCCCAGGACCGGGCTGGTGTCAGGCTGCCGTGTCTGCCAGCGCCAGTGACCCCGAAGGTCACAGCTGAGGAGCAGTGAGAAGGAACGGCCGCACCCCGAAACTAAAATTATACGTAAACCACAGTTTGCCCTGGCGGGGCTGGGACAGAGGCAGGGCGTGAACCCCGCTGCCACCAGGGAGGGAGCAAATGGCCTGGGTTGTAAACAGCCCGTGAGGAGCTGGGCCTCCGCCTCTGAAGTGTGAATGTGGGTGCTGTGATGCCATTTGTCACATAATGAAGGTTGATGGGGTTTGCAGAGGGCACCAGATGGCTGCGTTTGGCCCCAAGGGACATCCACGCTGAAGAAACTTTTGACCATCACAAAAAGCAGCAGAGAGAACAGCAAACCCCAGATCTCACGAGACGCTGCCCGGCTCACCGCTCCGTTCCTTCTCTGAGAATTGCACGTTTCTTAGTGAATATTTTTTGAATAAACCATTTTAACTCCCTTCCCGGGCACTGGGGTAGTGGGGTGAACAGAACAGCGTCATTGTGGAAAACGCGAAATCAGTAGTCTCCAGACAGCTCTGAAGGAACCGAACCACAGGTGACGGCCGGGCCTCAGGCATTGAACGTCCTCAAGCTACAGTGTCATGACCAACAAAAGTAGTCTTTCTCAGGGGCATTTATATTTAATGGAAATTGGTTACTTAAATCCAAGAAAACATTTGCCTATGGTAGAAATTTCAAGGTTATTACACATGTATTTTATTCTATTCCTCCATCCACCCACCCACCCATCCACCCATCCACCTATCCATCCATTTAATGAGCACGAGAGAGCTGGCAGGGACATGTGGGGACTGCGGAAGCCTCCTCCCAGAGCGGGCACACTGACACTCTGCCCGTGTCCCTTTGGCTGGCGATCCCACGGCCATGCCTGAGCCAATGGGGCTCCACCTGACTCCCTCGGGACTGCGCTGCAAAGCCACATGGCTAGGGCAAGAGCGTTGTCCTACTCCAGCTGCTGCAAGAACTCGATTAATGACCCAGCCTGTCATCCTGGGGAAAATAGCGACGCCCCTGTTTCACAACGGGACGCCGAGTCTCTGGCAGGTACACGGTTTGTTCAAGCTCGCGTGTCATTCGCATCAGAGCCAGGCCTCGTGGCTCCCAGTTCACGCTCTCTGGTTATTGGGTAATTGAGTTGGAAGCTCAAGCTGCTCAAACCGCAGGACAGCCGACAAGTCGAGCGACAGGTCGTCGAGGCAGTGAAAGCCACCGTGTTCGGAACGCCAGCACACCGAGGAGATGGCAGACCAGCCTCCTGAAGACCCATCTTGAGAAAGCACGGAATCCGGGCTTCCTTTACGTCAGGGGAAGGGGACGGGAGGGGTGCGAGGTCGGGAGGTGACCCAGACGTCTGGACGCCAGCGAGGGGGGTGGTGAAACTTCTTTGC